CAAAGAGGAGCTGGGAAACGTTAACAAGTTCAAGGCTCACCTGGTGCTGAAGAAGGATGCCAAACCCGTCTACGTGCCGAAGCGGAAGGTACCGCTTGCCGTAGAACCTCTCGTCAACGCAGAACTGGACCGCCTCGTCGCTACTGGAGTGCTGTCACCCTCATTCACAGTGGGCCGCTCCCATCGTTTCCCTCAAGAAGAAGAATGGAGCCCTGCGCATCTGTGCCGACTTCTCCACCAGGCTTAACGATGCATCGGAGCTAAACCGACACCCGCTGCCCACTGTTGAGGACGTCTTCACCAAGCTAAACGGAGGAACCGTTTTCACTAATATCGACCTGCGTCATGCGTACTTGCAAGTAGAAATGGACGACGAGAGCAAGGAATCACTGACCATCAACACATCCCGTGGACTCTTCCTCTACAATTAACTACCATTTGGTGTGAAGGGCGCCCCTGGAATCTTTCAGTCGCTGATGAGCAACGTCACCGCCGACATCAGTGGAGCCGTCGCTTATCTGGACGATGTTGTGGTCACCGAAAGGACTCGTGAGGAGCACGATGTGAACGTCTTTAAGCTATTCCAACGTCTTCAAGACTATGGAATGCGTGTTCGCCGTGAAAAGTGTCATTTTGCTGAGACTAGCATAATATCTCTCGAATTCATCGTCGACGCGAAGGAAGATGCCCTGATCTCGAGAGGACTGCTGCCATCGCCCATATGCCGCCACCCCAAGATGTAAAGGAGCTCGAATCTTGCCTTGGAATGGTTCCGTTTTACTCGTCTTTCGTGCCAAGGATGCGTTCACTTCGCGGACCACTGGACGCATTAAAGAAGAAAGAACCGTTTGTCTGGAGTAAAAAGTGCCAGGAAGCCTTCGACCTCCTTCGCGAAGTCCTGACCTCGGATCTTCTGCTGTGCCACTACGACCCCAAGAAGCCGATCATCGTTGCCGCAGACGCGAGCAACTATGGAATCGGAGCCGTGATCTCTCACCGCTACCCCGATGGATCGGAAAAGGTCGTTTACCATGAGAGTCGCGCATTAACGGCACCAGAGAAGAACTACTTCCAGATTGAGAAGGAGGGATTGGCCCTAGTTTTTGCCGTCAAGAAGTTTCACCGGTACATTTATGGACGAAGATTTACTCTGCTTACGGACCACCGCCCTCTACTCACTATATTCGGGAGCAAGAAAGGAGTGCCGGCCTACACCGCCTGCCGTTTACAACGATGGATGACACTACTTGCCTACGAATTCGATATCAAGTACTGTTCTACGACATCGTTTGGACAGGTTGATGTTCTCTCCTCATTGCTTTCCTGTCGGAGTGCGCCGGACGAAGACGTCATCATTGCTATTGTAGAGGCTGATGTCACCGCCACTTACGAGGAAGCACTAAACCAGCTGCCAGTCACAGTGGAAGGCGTACGTTCTGCTATGGAAAAGGACGTCATGCTGATGGAGCTGCTCAAGTGTCTCCAAACAGGACGTTGGCCAAATGCACTTCCAAGAACGCCGTTGTTTAACTACAGGAGCCAACAAAAGGAGCTCTCTGTTCACAACGGATGCATTTTCTTTGGATCCAGGATCATTATACCAGCTTCACTGAGGAAGAAGATTCTCCGCGTGCTGCACGATGGACACCCTTAAACACGAATGAAACTGCTCACTCGTAACTACGTCTACTGGCCTGGTATAGAAGAAGACGTAAAAAAGACTGTGGAACACTGCCAGAATTGCCAACTTGCCGCTAAGAATCCAGAAAAGCTGAATTAACGCCACGGCCGATTGCAAGTCGCCCGATGAAACGCCTGCATATTGATTTCGCGGGACCGCTCTACGGACACATGTACCTCGTTGTCGTGATTGCGTACTCCCGCTGGTCTGAAATCGTGGAGATGCAGTCGACTACGTCACAAGCGACCACGCAGGAACTCATGAAGATTTTCAGCCAATTCGGGTTCCCAGAAACGCTTGTTTCAGACAACGGCACCCAATTCTTTTCCCAGTACTTCGAGGATTTCTGCAGGAAGTACAGGATCAAGCATGTTCGGAAGCCGCCATTCCACCCACAGTCGAATGGGCTCGCTGAACGCTTTGTCGGAATTTTCAAGAGAGGACTCCTGAAGCTGAAAGGAGAAGGAAACCTTCCGGAAGCTTTGTCGAAGTTGTTACTCTGCTATCACTGTACGCCCTGCCCGTCTTCGCCGGAACATCGTTCGCCGACCGAGATGTTTCATGGACGAAGATTAGCACTCCGCTCTCACGTTTGGTCACTGACGCTCGGAACGCCACACCAACCTACTCTCCTGGAACCGGCGATGGAAGCAATGTACAACCCCGACATGGAGCCAAGAAAAGGAAATTCGAAGTCTACGATGCCGTCTGCGTTCGCGACTATCGTAACCCATCGCCTACTTGGACTCCAGGACGTGTGCGATCAAGGATTGGACGTTCACTCTACCACGTGGAAGTCGAAGGATTTTTATGGAGGCGCCATGCCAACCAACTACGCCATCGCAAGGTTCCCGATGTCACTACCACGCTGTTGAGTTCAACCTTCTAGACTTTGAGCTCCCGCGACCGTCGCCTGCAGTTTCCGCTGATGTTCACGCTTCCCAAGACGCCGTTCTCGATGACGAAACACCAACTCCAGATATCTCAGTTGCTGGTGCAGGTCCCGTGGATGCTGACGTCTCCGCCACTCAACCATCTCCACCGCCACTTCGCCGCCGGCCGCAAAGGGCCCATCGACCACCGTGCCGCATCGTGATCAACCCGCCCAAGAAGCGATACAGCTGATAGCTCAAGGGGAGAGATGTTGGAGAGTAAACATTTGTCGTTTTGTTTTGTGTTGTTATTGACTTGTGATCTCTAGGATATATTGGTATTTGTTGACCTATGCGCGGGATCTGAGCGCTATATAAGGCGCTCCCTGCTAGCTAAATCATTCGTTCGTTCGTCTCATCTTATCTTCTGTTCTTATTCATATCCGGTCTACTAATAAATTTAGTATTCTACAAGTGTCCTGGACCCACCACGAATACACGTACAAGTAGAAGACTACAACAGGAAGCAAGATTTATTAAATGATAAAAAGATTACCTCTCATACACTGTTTATGCACTAGAAAATCAGAGATAAAAAAAGTTGTTCCGGTTAGTCCTTTTTCAAATTATTCTACAAATTTCTATGTCTTTTATGTCCAATCCCGAGAAGCACTAGTTTCAGCTTTGAGTGACAACGAGCCCATGACTTTTTCAAACTGACAGTGAATTCTGCATAGCTCAAAAAGATGCTTTTGTATTCTCAAGTGGATGATTTTTACTTTTCTTTGCGCGAGTGCTTATAACTTTCTCTTGGCAGAGCGATATAAATTCAAATCCATCGTGCGCACTTTCAAATAAACTAATAAACCGAAAATTTACGACCTACATCTCGTGAAATTTATGTTGTCAATGCATATTGAAATTAGCACTGAAATGTTTTTGTAGAGGATTTAAGCATGATGGAATAAGACGACATGAGAGAGGACAGAACAATATTTCTAGAAAATTTATGGTCTGAGCGGAACTCCTCAGAGGGACTTTTCGAACGCGAATTTTTGGACATACGGTTTGGACAGAAAGTTTTGAGAATTTTTAAGGAAGTAAGTGACCAAATGGTAAGAAAACTGGGCAGGCAGCTTGATTGGATTGAGCTCCTACGTCATGATATAACTATTCGTATTGTGCATGATGAATGTTATGCGCAATGTGCATTGAGTAATGTGCATTTTTTGCTAGATAACGACCACTGCCACATGGTTTTGAATGACTTTTGGAGAGCATTATTGCTGGTGATAGGCTCAATGAGCTATTCAGCAAACTACTGCAAAATATCGATGATATTCACATAAGCAGTGACTTTTTTCAAATAGCGAAAAAAATTTTTTAGACGGATAGAATGCTGCTTCAGATATGAAGGGGACCAGAGTCCAATTTTTTGAACGATTGGACACTGCGAGTTAGCAGTTTCTAATGCTTAACACCCAAACACCCCAACGACAACACCCAAATCGTTGAATTGGGAATTGTTCTTGAAAAACTTTACAAAAAATAGTCTATGGTTTTACCATGAATTACTCCGAGAAATCTGGAGAGTTGGCTACCGCCAATTATGCTGCATCATATCGGCGCATTTTCTTGACAATAAAGATGTTTCTGTTTTTTTTTTTTGCGGCGTCGAGTGATCCAAAGAATGAAGAAATTTCTTGGATCTTCAAGAAAAATTATTTAGGGTTTTTATTTAATTTTGATGTACCGTCGGCACTATTTAAAGGCAGTGGGTCGGCAAGACTCAACAACTCAAAATTTCAACGCGGTAGACTCCTTATTGCCCATGTATGAAAACAGTGCAATTTTGGTTGCACAGCATGCCTTCCTTGCCGAAAAATTGCTCTCAAACTTACACGCGTAGGCTATTCTTACACGCATCCGGACGAGTTGGCAATTTCCTTCTCACCATTGGAGGCTGCCCGCCGCAATGCTATAGCATTGGGTCCTGCAACGATTCGGCGTCATCAGCCTTGCTGCACTCGTCCAATTCCAAAGGGAAGCGCATTGGAAAGCGCTCGTTTTCGGCGTTTTCAAGCTCTCAGGTGGAATTTCGGAATCAGCGTATTGAATAACCCCAGGTAAATTTTACTAGGTTGAGATTTGCCGAGCCACCTTTAAGACTGCCAAGTCGCTTATTTCTTGAGCTTCGTAGTAACACTGAAAGAGGCATCGATATAGCGATAGTACATTAATAGCAAGCGTGCAAATGTTGCTTTATGCGTCAATTTTAATCAATTCAAAATTTGTTGTTCTTAGAGCTATCAAATTACAATCAACAACTTGGAATCTGTTTTTGCCTCTATGAAAAGAAGATCAAGCTGAACGACCGCGGAGGAGCCTTTGATATAAGCAGTTATTTACAATTCGTCCATGGCAGTCAACATACCCGAGAAGTTTGAGAAATATATTTATTAGTAAATTAAAAACAATCAATAACAAGCACAAAAGTGAATAAACAGGAAACAATGCAACTTCTGATGATATCATTGTTATAATTGTATTATATTCATCATATTGTATTATTTATTATATTCTTCCTATCTTTCATGAGTTGAAAAACTGTTCGAAGATATTTTGGTGAATGCAATGAATGAACGAAAAGTTTCACCTTCTTTGATTTATTGCGCTCCAGCGAAAAATTCTGCAAATAAGATCAAATTAATGTTTTCGAATACCTGATGCTTGCAACTGGATGAGTTAGATTTGATCCGTCGAACTTGAACTGATATGTTTTCCTTTTACAAATGACACTGGGCTTAATCCTACAATCTCCAGCAGTATGACAAAGATTTCGACGGCCGCTAGATTGAGTCGGACAAAATGAACTTTCACGCCAAGGATTAAAGGTGTTCCCGGCCAGGATAGATGCGAAATCGGTTTTAAACAGGCAGGAAAAGCATTCGAAAAGCTCAAAAGGATGCTGTCATGTGACCTCAATTCGTTCAACATGCCCCAATGCAGAAGATCGTCGTGGCAGCGGACGCGATGATTTATTAACTAAGTGTGCGATATTGCACAAATATTCTAATGCATCCGAACTAGGGCCCGGTACAGATGGTTCGGAGTCAAACTGGACTTCGTGTTTGAGGTTAACACTAAAGGAAATATCGTTTTTATGAGGTCCTGGGCGGAGCGCCGAAAACAAGGCAAACATGTCAAGTTTTACGAGTTCGTGTTCTTCCGCAAGCGCGCGAATTTCAAACATACGGGATTGAGGCTATGTGAATATAGTATTACTTCAAACCGTATTATGTAAAAAGTTTTGAAAACTTATGTGTCCTAATACCCATTCCCGAAATTGTTGGTTTCTAGCGGTTCGGGGCATAAATGTCGTAGTTTTTACATAGGTTTTAGACCTTTTTGATTTGGACGATTAGAGCGCTTAAAAATCTATCATATAGCAAAGTGAGCGAGTCAAACCATTGCCTTTCCTCTTTGTTGCACTCCAGTCACATGCACTGTCCTTTAAACTATATGACGAAAAGTGCATCGCCCAGATTGTTGAGGCCAAGGACTTGGTCCGCCTCAGAAGTTGACAACATTCTGAACATGAAAAGTTACTATACTTCAACGAGGGCGTTTTTAATCAACTCAGAATGTTTTGCCTTTTTTAATATTAGATACTTCAGAGTGCGCTTTATTCCCTTTTTATTGCTGCGGTGATTGAATATGGGTTTCTCTATTGATTTATGTCAAAAGTCGTAAATTTTCGCGAAGTCATGAGACTTCGTTTCCAAAAATGCTTCAAGATAACGCGTGCCGGGCCCTGATCCGAACCAACGCATGCATCGCGTCTGCTCCAAAAACAAAGATACTTGCAGATAAAAAAAGAAGCTTTGGGATTGTAATTTGAGTCTAAAAGTTTGGATGTGTAAGTCAAAGATTTTTTTCTTTTTTCTGGACATCTAGATTCTTCAGATTTTGGCTTAAAAGTTGGTTGGACCGAAGCTTGTGCAAGATTTCATATACTATCTTGTATAACTTGCATTGTTTTCACTAACAATTTCTAAACCCGATTAAACTAACTCTAAAAAAGACAATGCGTAAATGCTTGTGTAACAACGTGATATTTGTACCTTATAATGACAATGAGAGTTTTCAGTTATTGAAAAGTTGAGTATTTCAGCATTAAGTAACAAAAAATGGTTTCCGGTCATCAAAACAACGGCCATAGCAGTAAAAAACCGGCTCAGAACTTGTGTTTGTTATCTGCTAAGCAACTATCCGAGAGCAGCTACGAATGGTCAACAGTGCGAACTTTCCAGAATTCTGTAATGCATGTCTTACGGAAAAAACTTCAGGAACACATAACTATTCTACTGGGGGTGCATTTTGTCTGTAATAGAAAACTCATAATTAGTGTACATGCTTTCAAGCTGCGATTTTAGTTTCTTTGCGGTGATCAAAGCTGCAAGCTTTCACACAATCTTATAAAGCTGTCACTCTAACCAGTGATATCTCTAACCTAAGCAGCATATGACTTATTGCGTAAAATAGACAAGGTCCAACAATAATTGTGTATGTAACACCATAATATTTATGACACAATCAGAATGCTTAATTTACTCATCGCATCTCTTAGGAAGCTTTAGCTCTCCAAAGTTGATTTAATGCATAGGATCAACAATTTCAGTCCCACTCACAATTGATGCAAACCATGGCAAAACTGTTTAGTGAAGGAACCAGATTTAGTATTCAAACTCCTTTTGTGCTTACAATTGAAAATAGAAGTCATAATACAATAAGATTCATAGTAACTCAATTCATTCTAACGCGGATAGGATACTTGGTGGCCGTGGCCTTTCGATCTGTGACATATGCCATGACATTCGCCTTGAAACGCTGGTCTCAAAATTGTATTCTTATCTGCAGAACGAAATTTAGGAAAAACCGTATTTTCCCTCATCTGGCGTGTTGCGCAAGAGAACGAGTAATTTCGGCAAATCTTAAAGGTCTGAATGGTCTGGCGGTTAGCACTGTCGATCATTGCACAATGGATGCCCGTTTAATCTCGGTCAGTGCAAATTTGCATTAGCGCTTTTACAAAGTATTTTGATTTATAACATGTTCCAAAGGGCCACGGCCATCAGTCACCATTTCCTTGAAGGTATGATAAATCATTCTTTACAAATTTGCTCAGTGGAGAGAAATTATTGGTTATAGTGTATGGTAAGATTTTGTACATTTTGATTAAAGCTTACGTTCAAATGTTTGTGTGACAAAAGCAAACTCCAACTGGCGAATGGTTGGCAAGGTACATGTCGAGTTTCCAAAAACAGTAAACCATGGTCCACTATCATTTGCATACTTTGATTTCGCAAAAAATCTAGTGACTGAATCAGTATGTGGGTCAGCTACGTAAAGGAAATTGTAAAATAATGTCAAAAGATCAAGAACATTGTGAGGGACATTCATTGTCAGTATGTGTAGCTCCTTTTACACAGTTTTGTAATTATCAAAGTCAAAGTCATATTCAAAGTATTACAGTCATTGTCAATTACGTACTCCCTTTCGCATGAGAACTACGCATGCGCAACGCATGGACCCTGCGCGCGGGCCTCCAATCGATGAGGCCAATTTGAATGCTCGAGCCATACGCGCGCGAACGTGGCGTGGAGCTCATTACGCTTACAGAAAAGGGAGCACGTGATTAACACGGACTCTAGTTGTTACAATAGTTCTGCGTTTCCTTTTTATTAGATTGACCAAAAAATAATGTCGGTTTTTATTTGCTTGCTGTGCACCGTAACCCTTCGTTTTTAGACTTCTTGGAAACGAAGTAACCTCGACTTTCGCGAAATTTTACGAAACCCCTTTGTCTTTCAGCACTGAACGTATAAAAACCCTCAAAAACGAAACTTCGACTAAACAAATGTCGCAATTTTTGACCACAAAAATAATATTCCCTATACTCCCTCTCCCACAAACCAAGTCCAGCATGCTTCCATACGATCTGTGCGGGTCGTAACCGCAACCGTGCGAACCACAAGGGCACGCGATGGGACTGTTCGATCGAACAAAGCAAGTTCTACAAACAGTTTTGGTGCTTCCGTGCTATTACCTAAAATTAAACTTAGCATCTAAAAAGTTTCAGATGTACAAAAAAAATTGAAAAGACTTGGACGTCTGTCCAGAAATCTTCTATAGACCTCCCACTGCATGTGTTACATACATACACATTTATTGTTAGACCGTGTTTTCTTAAGCTATAAGTCTGCCATACACTGTTTATCTTGATACCACTGGATAAAGTAACAAGCTCTACAAGGTTATGTGAAAGTTCGCACCAGCTTTGAGAAGTTCGGAAGCTCAGAAAAGTCGAGGTTCCTTTTTTTCAGTTTTTTGGTCATTTCAATTGTTCAAATTTTGGCTCCAAAGTGAGATGGACCGAAGCTAGTGCGAAAATTTACATACTATCTTGTAGAGCTTGCATTGCTTTCAAGAATAATCCTCAAACCGATTAAAAATAAGAAGTTTGTCACTGCACTGAAAAGACAAAGCATAAAAATGCTGTAAACTCGGTGTTTATATTCGACTGTAATGATAAAATCGAAGAGAGTTTCAGTCATCAAATAGTTGACGTTCTTGTGTATTGAGTTCTTATAAAAATTTATCAACAGTGTGTTTAAGTAAATTGAGTGGAAACTCACCCGGAAATCCAAACTCACGCTAGCTTCCCAATGAACTCTTCGAATCTTTGCCTTTTCGGCAATAATACCAGTGTAGAATATGTCCTGAGTCAAAAGTTAGTAATTATCATGTTCAAAACGTCTTCCTTCGCTCTTACATCCAGCGCCAGTGGCGTAAATAAGGGAGCATAGTCAAGGATGAGCCGTCCAGCTTCTCTGCCAATTATATACATAGGACCACTACAATAAGGCGGGTAATGTTTGTTTGGCCATACATTTTCGGGAACGTAACTGAAAAATAAATGCAAAGAGCAAATGAAGACAAGTTGTACAAAAGGCTGGTATTACTCAAAAAAGCGTAGGTTGCTGCTTACAAGGACCATATGGTACGCAGCCTTTTTTGGTTTTTCAAATATGCAACAGTCAGCGCGGCTTTAAATGATGACACTGAATCTGTTCTTGTATATTACTTTATTGACTATAAGTTTTAGGAACGCTAACGATAGCTCATTAGAGCACAATGCCATGCTCCACTTTTTACTGTTATTTCATAGAAGATGTAAGCTATCCACTGGCTCCTTTTTGTTTTTGTTTTTTGTCGCTTGTACAGGGTCAGCGTTTCTGGCACCAGAATTGACTTTCGATGAGACGTGTCTATCAGCCAGTCTGTCGCATGCCCTTCTCGGAGGGTGCCTAATAGGGCTGGTATTAGAGGACTTTTGGGGTATCGAACAATGACCTCGCAGAAAAGAGCTTACTGAAACATGGAGCGCCACGCCGCTAAGCCATCCACGCCTAAACTCTACGCTTCTAATTACTCAGGGCAGCTCGATTTATGTCAAAAATGTATGCACTTCTTGGAGAGAGTTTAGCAGATGCTGGACATGATTCCAAAATATAAGCTTATGCAGGTGTGTCAATATCAGGGCTCGGCATAAGGTGGCTTTTTTTTCATTTTTTCAAAACTAAGTCCCATAGACTTTGCCACAAAAATACGACATCATATACGAAGCGATCATGAATGGATCAAGCACGAATAACAAAAAATAATGGAACAACATGGAAAAAACATTGAACAGGAGAAGAATTTGAAGAAGTTCGTGTTCTCCGAATTGGCGGTTGATACAGTTGTGACAGTGGAATGTGAAAAATTTCGGCGAATTCGCCGAATTCGCCGAATTTGCCAAATTCGCCGATGTCGCCAAATTCGCCGATGTCGCCGAATTCGCCGATGTCGCCGATGTCGCCGACTTTGCGTCTTTTCGTCATAACTCCCTTCGTTTTCAATGGATTTCAAATTTGAAGGCAGATTTGGATTCAGCTCGCCGAGATGAATCTTCTCATATATTAAACTGCTGTGATCGGCCCGGTCACGGTAAGTGCATGGTAGGAATCCGTTGCATCCTGTGGTGATGTTTTCTAGAGTGTGTATTTCGGCGCATAATGTTGGCAAAGGTTTAAGAAAAAGAGCGTTTGATGGAAGACTTTCTGCTGAGTGTTTCCAGCAGAAAACCATATCCTTTTTTGTAGTGGAAAAAAGAGAAAGGAGTACGAGAACTTAGTAATTATACATGAACCACTTACCGTCAAACAAACATAACTATACAGTAACGCTATGATTAGCAAAACAATTATAGTCTCTGTGATCAGCATGTCTCGTTGCTTATGTGAGCAAAGTGACACGCCGCATGACTGTGATATTCTGCTTCCAGCAAAACTTAACTTTTTTCTGCAGACGCCTCTATGCAACGCTGTGGGCCAGCCCCTATCACACTTAAAAGATTTCGGTGAGGCGAATCGGAAAGAGTTGTTTCCGTAGATAATACAGCGGTGAAAAGTAGACGGAGACATGCTTTATAAAGCGCGAGAAGAGATGGTGAATTCTGCAAATCACGCGCTTTTAAATTTTACTCGCCATAACTTCCTCCGGAATAAGTATATTCTGAATCCGAAAACGATGCTGTGCTCCGCTCATCAAGGTGAATCTTTTGGTATACAGCATGTCCTTGATATCTCGATTTCAGTATTCTTTAACTTTTCTACGGACGTCTCTTTGCGAAGGTGTAAAGCAGGGAGCATTGTCCCCAGTAGATACCAGCAAAGATCTTTTGGAAGTACTTTTTCTGCAGATTATGATGCGCTAAACAGTAGCCGCAATTTTCTTTTCAAAGGAAATAGATGGGCTGGTGAATTGTGGAAAAATCTTGTCGTCCCAAATTCTACTCGCCATAGCCATAGAATATGATGCTATCTTGTCAAGCAGATGTGATTATCGTAATCAGCAGGTCGGATAACCTCTACGAGCAAGTTTTCCGAGATGTCCGGGTTATTTCATTTTTTCTCGTTTTACGCTCTGGCTCTCCCTGATGGATTTTGGTCAAAATGTTGATGCTCTTGAATTGTAAGGAAACTTCGCTTATAGAGGTTTTCGAACACGCTCTTTACGAAAATTGTGGTCTCTGAGGATTACAGTGTCTTTTTGGAGAGATACGGTGAGGTAACTGTAACTGCACCACGAAAGTGCGTAACTTTGACCGCACTCCTCACGTATCTCTCAGAAAGCTTGCTTGCTTGCTTTCCTAGGTCAAAGTGACTAGGAGCTGAGCTGTCGAATGGTTCATGAACCGGGCTCCAGTCTATAAAATTCGCCGAGTTACAAGCCTACGAAAACACGTCCTCATGAAATTTGCACAAAATGTAAAGATCGCGTACTTTGTTGAAATTCCACCGTGAGTGGTTGTATAAAACGCGGGCGAGGTGAACATAACATTTGCAATTAGTCGTGCAACCACTCACGGTGGAATTTCAACAAAGTACGCGATCTTTACATTTTGTGCAAATTTCATGAGGACGTGTTTTCGTAGGCTTGTAACTCGGCGAATTTTATAGACTGGAGCCCGATTCATGCACCATTCGATAGCTCAGTTCCTAGTCACTTTGAATTAAGAAAGCAAGCAAGCAAGGTTTCTGAGAGATACGCGAGAAGTGCGGGCAAATTTACGCACTTTCGTGGTGCAGTTACAGTTAGCTCACCGTATCTCTCCAAAAAGACACTGTAATCCTCAGAGACCACAATTTTCGTAAAGAGCGTGTTCGAAAACCTCTATAAGCGAAGTTTCCTTACAATTCAAGAGCATCAACATTTTGACCAAAATCCATCAGGGAGAGCCAGAGCGTAAAACGAGAAAAAATGAAATAACCCGGACATCTCGGAAAACTTGCTCGTAGAGGTTATCCGACCTGCTGATTACGATAATCACATCTGCTTAGCAAGATAGCATCATATTCTATGGCTATGGCGAGTAGAATTTGGGACGACAAGATTTTTCCACATTTCACCAGCCCATCTATTTCCTTTGAAAAGAAAATTGCGGCTATTGTTTAGCGCATCATAATCTGCAGAAAAAGTACTTCCAAAAGGTCTTTGCTGGTATCTACTGGGGACAATGCTCGCTGCTTTACACCTTCGCGAAGAGACGTCCGTAGAAAAGTTAAAGAATACTGAAATCGAGATATCAAGGACATGCTGTATACCAAAAGATTCGCCTTGATGAGCTGAGCACAGCACCGTTTTCGGATTCAGAATATACTTATTCCGGAGGAAGTTATGGCGAGTAAAATTTAAAAGCGCGTGATTTTTGCAGAATTCACCATCTCTTTTCGCGCTTTATAAAGCACTAGCTGGCTTACCCGGCTCCGCCGTATGTTCCGAATAGAAAATTCCATTTCTTAACCGATCCGGACCAAACTTGGCACACATACACTTCGGGCCCCGGCGGGTGTCACAGTCCACTTTTCGTTATCGATCGATGTCGATTTTATCGATTTTTTGCAAAATTTGGGCTAGGGGGCTGGAATTTGGCAGGGGGGTGTAATCGAGCATGCTGATCACCCCACGGGGGTGATCAGCATGCTCGATTACCCCCCTGTGCCAACTCCCAGCCCCGTAGCTCAAATTTTGCAAAAAATCGATAAAATCGATATCGATCGATGACGAAAAGTAGCCTATGACACCCGCCGGGGCCCAAAGTGTATGTGTGCCAAATTTGGTCCCGATCGGTTCAGAAATGGAATTTTCTATTCGGAACATACGTACAGACAGACAGACAGACATACATACATACATACATACATACATACATACATACATACATACATACATACAGACAAAGACATTCAGCTTTATATATAAGATGTCTCCGTCTACTTTTCACCGCTGTATTATCTACGGAAACAACTCTTTCCGATTCGCCTCACCGGAATCTTTTAAGTGTGATAGGGGCTGGCCCACAGCGTTGCATAGAGGCGTCTGCAGAAAAAAGTTAAGTTTTGCTGGAAGCAGAATATCACAGTCATGCGGCGTGTCACTTTGCTCACATAAGCAACGAGACATGCTGATCACAGAGACTATAATTGTTTTGCTAATCATAGCGTTACTGTATAGTTATGTTTGTTTGACGGTAAGTGGTTCATGTATATTTACTAAGTTCTCGTACTCCTTTCTCTTTTTTCCACTACAAAAAAAAAATATGGTTTTCTGCTGGAAACACTCAGCAGAAAGTCTTCCATCAAACGCTCTTTTTCTTAAACCTTTGCCAACATTATGCGCCGAAATACACACTCTAGAAAACATCACCACAGGATGCAACGGATTCCTACCATGCACTTACCGTGACCGGGCCGATCACAGCAGTTTAATATATGAGAAGATTCATCTCGGCGAGCTGAATCCAAATCTGCCTTCAAATTTGAAATCCATTGAAAACGAAGGGAGTTATGACGAAAAGACGCAAAGTCGGCGACATCGGCGACATCGGCGAATTCGGCGACATCGGCGAATTCGGCGACATCGGCGAATTCGGCGACATCGGCGAATTTGGCGAATTCGGCGAATTCGGCGAATTCGCCGAAATTTTTCACATTCCACTGTCACAACTGTAGATCCCGTAAAATTATAGTATTAGCACAAACGAGACATTGCTTAGATCTCGCACATGTCAAAGTCACTCCGCAGCAACAATGATATCCAGAACCTCAAAGTAGGGCCGACTAAAAGCTTTTTTTTTCAGCACCAGAGGCGTTTGCCGCCATACTCAAAATCGCGGAATCTCGCAGCGACCCTGCATTAGTCTTGGCGGGAACTGTCCAAATTGAAAGCAAAGGGCTCTTAAAAAGCCTGTTCTTAGGCCGAGAAAAGCCCAAAAAGCCCGGAAAAGCCAAAAAACCGAAAAAGCCCCGAAAAAGTCCGAAAGAGCCGGAACGCAGAAACGAACTTTTGGTAGAGTTCTGACATTATTTTGATGTGTAGACGAAGAAAATGAAGCAAAAAGACTCATTTGCGAAGTCAGCACACATGCTTTAGCGTCAAAACGGATGGGACGTTTCGGCTCTTTTGAGTTTTTGGGCTTTTTGGGCTTTTTTTTGGCGAACTATGACGGGTCCCTTACAGTTTCCGTACCTTCTAACATGGATTCTCACTCGGGGATAGTCCCTGAAAACTGAGCTTCCCAAACATTGTCTTTAAGGAAAAAAGTGCCACCCTAGTTGAACGAAACTGACGCAAGGGGAATTGTGGAATCGAAAGTGACAAAGGAAAAATTGTTTTCCAGAAGACCGTCGCCCTCGTGCCAAACCCTTCTTATCGACTCATGATTGGTGATCGCCATAATTTGGCACAATGGGGAAAGTTTTTTAGATCTTTGCGGCAAGGATGAGATGAGGTGCTTGAAGTAAAGTAAACCAATGACAAAGTTGGTGTAAACTTCAACAGAAATTGAGCCCTTTTGGCGCACATCAAGATAAAACCATCGGCGATTGTAATCTGGGAAGAAAACTAAATAGCTTATTTTCATAATGATATAGACTGTTGCTAATCTTGCTTTTTCAGAACTTACTATTTACTGCTGATGTCTCTATCTGGTTGTGCTTTTTTCCAAACTCGACAGAAAATGGAGCGACTAGATTCATTGTCTTTTTTCCATAAATCAACCACGCGATCAAGATCGAGTACGATATCGTCGTCAGCTTTCATGACGGCATGCGCCGATGGACAGTATTGTTGATGGAAGACCATAGACGCGTAGACCTTCAAAGTTGTTTCAAGCAGAAATAAGCTTAGATTAACCTACTTTGAGATGTAAATTCTTATAAGCCTCGTGCAAGTCTGTGACAATCAAATCGTCGTACTCTTCTTGCTCTTTCTGCAGATTGTGTAGATCGTTTTTGGATGTAGCAGATATGATGAAGAATACCATCACGTCGTGGGTCTGAACCTTATTATAAAGTTGATTGTGTTCAATCATGTTTGTCCTATATGTTTGTCTGTGTGTTCCGATGCAGCAAATTCCACTTCTGAACCGATTTGGACCAAACTGTACACAAATATTATTCGAAGTCGAATGCCTGCGTTTGTTCATGTGTATGTGTGTGTCTGTGCGCAGCTCGTACTAAAGAAAACTCATTTTTCTATTTAAACCGATTTTGCACGCATATCGGAGTGAGGGCGTCATACTGCAATATCGACTTCATTGATATTTTGCAAATCTTAGACCCCGAGGCAGAGGATTCGTACGCGGTTAAGTGAGCACGCGTAATTAGAATAAAATGCCAACTTGTAACGGGGTGGTCTAGTGGTATTGGCGGTTTAAACCGGTCAATAAAGACACGGTTAGAATAAGGATATTTATCTCAATGGCAACAATGAACAACAATAACTTGAACAACTTGAACAACTTAGACACTCAACAACGAATACGGGTCCTTCTGACCCGGTTTGGCCCTATCAGCAGGGTATTCTAGCTTAGTTCTATCTAAGGGGGGAGGTCCGCCTCTCTTCGACGGCTCGTTTAAACTCCCTGGAGCGCTCTCTTCACGCTCTGCCTGCTCCCCCCTACTCACCGGTATTTATACCCTGCTGAAGGGGTCAGCGCGGGCTTTTCTTCCCGCCACTGGAGATCGGTAGGTCGGTGATCCGCGCCATCCAACATCCCTCCCCTCCGGGGAGCCGACGTCCTCGACGGCTGCTGCAACTTGCTGAGTTTTGCACCGGGAACTCTCCTGCGTATGATGTTGTAAAGTTGCCGCGCACATCCGTCCCTGAAATGCGTGACGTACACTTGAAAAGAATTTTGGGGTCCATCTACTCACATGGTCAATTTCCTATTTTCTGTCCTTGAGGGAGCCAACGTGAACAACTGATTTGGGTTTGCCCATTTTTCCAGTACTGATTCAATCACCGACCACACTTTTGACTTCGTTTTCCACAAACCACTCTTCTTAAGCAGTAGGGGCGGCCACACGGATACAATCTTCCCCCTTCTTCGAGGTACTTCTTGCATATCCGCAATGTCTCTATGATAGCCTCATCCTCTCTTCTTGGGTCATGGGCCAAACTAAGACCCACATACGACATATTTTCAAGTACTTCAGTGCTTCCTTGAGTTGACTGAATGATACTGCCACCCTGGCCAGTACTCCACACTGCTTCAGCTCAACTTCCTCAAGTAATCCTGCACATCTCGGCGCAATAAACGCAATAGGACGTTCCTTCTCAGAAGCTTGTCCTTCCTCACTGCGTGTCTATTCAACTCTGACTCCTTTCTGTGCCTCTCCGCACATTTTCCGATCACTTCTGGAAGGGGTGTGCTTCTTGCTGCCCTTCCTACATGTCGGCTTTTTCCACTTGCGCTCACAAGCTTCCTCTGGCCGAATTCTTTTGTCTGCTTTGACATCACTTTTTCTCTCAATAAAAGTTTTCTTGTTGACAGTCACAGATCTGTCCTTTCTGTCCTTCTCTGAAATAGCTCTCTTCGCAGTTATGGTGCCTTGTTGGAACTTCGCTCTTACTGAGGCGGCGTTTCTCTTGTGTGGAGGCACCATCCTATCCTCTGCTTTTACTTTGACTTCAGACTTCTTGTGTATCACTACTCCCACTCCTAGATCCTTCAATGCATTTGTGCCGATGAGTACTTCCTTGTCTTCATCGTCCGGAACATGGAAGGCCACTTCCTTCTTGCATCCTCCTTCTAATTCTACTTCTTTTTACACCTCCGAGAAAGGTCATCACATGGTTTGATGCATCGTGTATGCTTCCTTCCGGGATATCGAAAGTCTGAAGTGACTCGACATCGTAGCCACTGTTCCTTGCTTCTGCAAGCACTTTCACGGGAAGAATACTAATCATTGAACCCGTGTCAATGAGTGCTGACACCTGTCTTCCCAGCATCCTCGCTCGAGTCAAGGTTCTTCTACCGACACTCTGTTTGCCTCAACTTGAGAGGTTTTTACGACCATATTACGCTTCCTACTTAGCATGGACGTTGCTCCATTGGAAGCCTTGGTAGCGCTTTCGTTCTCCGTCTTCCTGTACTTGCAATCTCTTATGATATGTCCGAAGTGGCCACAATTGAAGCATCTTTTCCCTTCATTCGATCGATCCTCACTATTGACATCTGGGCTGTTCGTTGGGTCCTGTCTCCTCACAGCATCTTGCCTTTCGCCCTTTTCCGCTAAGCTGTTTCGATGCTGCGCTCTTACCGGGACATACTTCTCATTTTTGCTTGGTTTCCTCCATGGCGAAGCTTGCGGTTCACTTCTCCTTTCGAATTTGCAGAGCCTTCGCAATTGCTCGATCTCAATCGCGACTTCCTTTATTCTGTTGTACGCCTCAGCTGGGTCCACCTGGTGTAAGGTCCCCACCAGCTGTACGTATTCCGGCCATGACGTCAGATTCTCTAGTAGAATCTGCGCATACTCCATCAATCTTTCCTCAATGGTACATTGAGGATTGGCCTTCCTTGCTAGGTTTTCGAGGGCGACACAGAAGTCTGCAACCTCTTGGCCTGGCCTTAAGCGCATATTCCTTAAGGCTGTCAGCGCCTTCAACCTAGCCGCTGTGGAATCACAGGCCAGTAGTGAGGACATCTCCCTCACTACTCCATCAAACCCTTGGCGTTTTACCGCCGCGGGTATACTCAGGAACAGGGACCTTGCCCTCCCTTCAAGGTGTTCGTCCCCCAGGAGATCTACTATCATCTTTTCCTCCCCCACTATGGACCCGTACTTCCTAGTGAATCTTCTAATAAATCTATCGAAGTTTTCATTTTCCTGCCCTCTATAAACCCCCGGATCGGCGAAAGCCATACTTTGAAAGTAGTTGACTAGTTGATCCGTACCTTGACTGGGCTGGGAGGCATTGCTGCTGCGTGGCCCTAATTGCTTCCAGTGCTGCTCGGACATCTGTCCAATCTCGCACTTTGGTCCGCACCACGGCCTCCTCATACTCCACGTCTGAACAGGGTATTCGTTATTGCCGCTTCTTAGATTAGAGGATACCATCGGCTCACCTTGCAGCATTTCCAAATCCTCTTGAATGCCGTCTCGTTCTTCCGACGACCTCTCTTGAGCCAAAATTGTCTTTGCCTGAAATGGCTCTGACTTCAATCGTTCATTTGTTGTATCTAAGAACGCTTCTACCCCTTTGTCAAAGCCCCCTTCGATTTGTGCTGCTAAACTCCCCAGACAGTTTAGCATTGCATTCACCCTTATGTTTACTTCCTCCTATAGGGGTGCCCTGTACTTTAGTGCGGCCCTACTCTCATCTAGATGCCTGCTTACTACCCCTGGTAGCAGCCCTAGCTCCCTTCTAATGAACCCTAACTTCTCCTCTGTTCTACTTTGACTGTGTTTCTTACCTGATTTTCTTCAGCTTGGCCCTTCATCGGCTCCATTTTTACCGCTACTATTGTATACTATTGTATACTATCTGAAAACACACTAGTTATTTCTTTGCAATCACTCAATACACGCGACGAATACGCGAAATCGGTCGATAACGAGACGACGCGACGATGATCAATCAATACGAGCTCTAGGATAAGTGCTCTACGTGAAGAGATGAAGATATTCTATCTTATTCTTCTCTTTTCCTCGCCCTCTTAGGCCGTTGTGTGTGTTCTTTGCCGCCTCACTTCTCAATATCAATAATCCAATCGTGTATGACTTGTCAATCGATCAGATCCGGCTGGCTCGGCCCCCATGTGACGGGGGTTGTCTAGTGGTATTGGCGGTTTAAACCGGATCGATCAATAAGGACACGGTTAGTAAGGATATTTATCTCAACGGCAACAATGAACAACAATAACTTGAACAACTTGAACAACTTAGACACTCAACGAATACGGGTCCTTCTGACCCGGTTTGGCCCTCAGCAGGGTATTCTAGCTTAGTCCTATCTAAGGGGGGAGGTCCGCCTCTCTTCGACGGCTCGTTTAGACTCCCTGGAGCGCTCTGTTCACGCTCTGCCTGCTCACCCCTACTCACCGGCATTTATACCCTGCTGATGGGGTCAGCGCGGGCTTTTCTTCCCGCCACTGGAGATCGGTAGGTCGGTGATCCGCGCCATCCAACAAACTTTCAAAATCATCGATTACCGTTGTCTCTATGAATTTCCAGATTTTAATTTTCTTGGAGCGCTAGGAGTTGTTACAGAATGGTGAGCATGCTGATCATAGATATGAATAGCGAAAATATTCCGTTGGAACTCGATTATTCTTACACTTGAAAATGGGGCTTTGAGTTGACACTGAAGGTGAAACATGCCGTTAAAGGCAGCGCCCAGGCTAATCTGGACCTATGGGGATTTTACGTGAAAAGTAATTTTGGGGCCCTAACTAAAATATGGCCCAAGCTGCAGCGCAAATGACCCGCTAACAGCTGATATATAGCCTCCAAACTGGACCCCATGATCCTATTATCGGACGACTTGCATCGTATTAACATGGCTTTCGCGCGACGACCCACGCGAAACCGATGGGTTGCACCATGAATCCATGCGAAACACGATCCTGGGGTCCAGTTTTGAGGGGATATCCCAGCTGTTAGAGCACTACCTGAGCTTCCAGTTGGGCAGTGGCTTACAGGGAAACGATACTCGGTGTCCGTGGCCTTTTGAGTTGAGTGCACCATTACACTCGTTTTGGAACGCTGATTCCGAATCTGACTTCCGTTTCTGCTAATCGCTTCAAAGAAGTTATAAAGGATTGTGCGCTCTCTGGCTGCCCACTGAAATAAGTTTGGAGCGCCAACAGCAACGGTGCGGTGTGGTCTAGCGGTTAGTTGCGATAGGCTCATAAGTTGATGCAGTTGTACTTCGAATCTTTTTGTGTTTTCCAGTTTTGTATCGCCTCAATAAACCTTCTTTCGCATTTTCGAGCTAATTGAGCGCCCTTGCTCTTCAAAAAATGTGGAAATTTGGAAAAAATGATTT